ATTAATTTTTTTTTTTTAAAAAAGAAATAATAGTTTGTTCTCTCATTTTGTAAGTTTAAACAAAACAAAACAAACAAAAAAAGCGATAAACAAAACAAAAAATATTTTTTATTTGTTGTAAACAATTGTAAGTTTTTTGTTATATTAAGATAAAAAAAAGTGATATCAAATAAAATTCTTTAAATATATTWAAAAAAAAAAAAATTTAAGTTATTTTATATTAATTATAATTAAAAAAAAATGATGAAAATTTCGAAAATTTATCAATAATTTAAACTAAATATATATTTAATAAATTAATAATTTAAACTAAATATTAATATAAAAAATTTTAGAATAAATTAATAAATAACTTTACCCCTCCCTCCCCCCCTAATAATCTAATCTAAAATTAGATCTAATTTATCTATCAAAAAAATAAATAATTCAATTTTAAAATAATTCAATTTATTTATTTGCTATTGTTTATCWCAAAAAAATCAATTTTTATCTATCTATCTATTAGTTTGTTATCAATAATTTAAATTTATTATTATTATTTTTTGAATATATATTATTTGAATCATAATTTATGATTAATATATACAGTATATACAGTATAATTAATATATATTTATTTTCTATATATATATATATGAAAATTTTTGTTACATTGAAAATAATTGTATGATAATTATTTTTGCAGCAAAAAAATAAATAAATAAAACAAAATTAAAACTATTTGTTGAAAAAACAAATCTGTGTAAACAATTTACACACACATAACAAAAAATTTAGACACAAAATTAGTTTTTACAGATGATATTAGTAATAATAATAATAATAATAATACTATTAATAAAATAATTTATTTTTATAAAACATTATTTAGTCAATAATAATATTATAAGTTTATACTTAAAAAAAAATATTATTAATAATAATAATACACTTATTATTATTATTATTATTAACTATATATATATAAAAAATGACCAGTAGAGATTTATTATTGATAATATTGAAAATATTATTAATTAGCTATAGTTATTTGATCGTGGTAATTTTAGGTGATTGCGGTTTCCCAGCCYTGCCAATGCACGCAACGGTTAGACCATTGCGTAGTGTCTATACGGAGGGCGAGGAGGTTSASTACTATTGCGAATACAAGGATCAGTATCTGATTGGTAACGGTAGCCGAAAGTGTATGAAAAGTCGATGGTCAGGGGATATACCACATTGCGGTACAGTATATATATATATATATATATACCTAATAATTAGTTATTAATAGATAATTAGTAATTAATATTAATTAGTTAGTTATATTTTATAACTTAGCTATATAAATTAGTATAATTATATTAACTTATATATAGTTATATATTATATAATATTAATTAGTATTAATTAATAATTAATAAATTTATAATAGGAATTAAAATAACATCAATAAATAAAATTATAGCTGGGTAAAAATAAGTTATTATGAAAAATTAAAATTATAAATATTAATTATAATAATAATAAATAAATAATAATTTTAAATTATAAAATATATAATTTAGTTTTTTTATATAAATAACTTATTTCACCCCAGCTATTATTTTTTGCTAATCTTATTTTAACTATTGAATCTATTAATTATAATTATTAATTATTAAATTTAAAATTTAATTAAAATAATTATACATAATTTGTTATAAAAAAAATTAGTATTATTGTTAAGTAAATTATAGTAGATTTTTTTGGTGGTTTGTTTTGTTTGAAAATAATTAAATAAAACTTAAAATACTATTTAATAATAATAGTAATAATTAAAAAAAATTGCTAGATCAATTAAGTTTTTGGTATTATTATTATCATATGTTATTAGGATTATATGAGTGCAACAAAAAATTAAATAAATAAAAATATTATTATACAGTATATTATAAGTTATATCTATTAATACTAATAATATTTTTTTTTATAAATTTAAATATTATTATTAGTTCGGGAATTACCGCGCCGTTGGCTGGAAACGATCGTAGCGGTCGACATAACCAATCATACGATTACTGGGACCTATACATCCCAGCAGCTGTACTATAGTAGTGGTGGTAGTACTAACTATTGGAAAGACTATGATAAGTATCAGTTGATGACCTACTACGGGAATCACGATAGTGCGGGAGAGTGTCTGCACACACAAATCAAGTCACAACGGGTACAGAAACTTCAATGGCTTGTAGTGTTCAAGTGGCCAATCGAGCAGATATATCAAGTAATAGTAGTGGTCAACACCGACGGTATGAGTTCCACGATAGATGTCCGTCAAAACGGATCGGTAATCTCCGGGGTATATGTTGGCCCCTATAGACAGTGTCTGGCCGAACGTGTCGAACAGGTAGACATCTATGAGAAACTCTACAGATATACCTATATCTGTGAACTGGTGGGCGACCCGAGCGTAAAACAGGACGATATTGAACACACTGATGGTGGAGGAGGAGGAGGTGATGCTAAAAATATAACCATCGATTTCGCTGTAAACCAGATAACTGTATGTGAACTACATGTACGCGAAACTATGTCCTACAGGCATACCTACAATCATGGGATGTGCGGCCAACCAGACATACCGCTGTATTCGACATACGAACCGGTCTACGACAGTAGTGGCTCCGGTATGTTATATTCGCCTATTGGCTACACTTTTAAATGCGATGACGGCTTTTATTTGGTCGGTAGCGAAGTTAGTATAGTCTACATACTGGTACCCATAGATACTAACCATTGATTGAAAACTTATTTTTTGTTGCGAAAACTAGAGTGTAATTTGCGGAAACAATCACAAATGGGTGGACCAGTTTCCCGGTTGTGTACCAAACAATACCTGTCCAATAATGCCCAATAAAGTAATCCAGGATCTATCGCTTACTGTCCACTATAATAAGCTGTACAGTAGCGGTATTGATGGCGATACGGTTGTCGGAATAACCGATAGTCAGGCTATCTATTCGTGCGATGATAAACCGATAGCACCAGCAGCTCATAATACTACCGGTGCTGCCGCTGGCACCCCCCGTATGACATTGTTTGGCGATTCTGTACAATTTTGTATGCCTAATGGCACATGGAGTGGCGAGGATCCAGTTTGTCTAGGTTAGTTAGGTTATCAAATTTTAAAAAATTAGCTAGATTATTTTTATAAAAAATTAGCTAGATTATTTTTTAAAATAAAATTAGCTAGATTATTTTTATAAAAAATTAGCTATATTATTTTTATAAAAAAATTAGCTAGATTATTTTTATATAAAAAAAATTAGCTAGATTATTTTTTTAAATAAAATTAACTAGATTATTTTTTAAAATAAAATTAGCTAGATTATTTTTATAAAAAAAATTTGCTAGATTATTTTTTTAAGTAAAATTAGCTAGATTATTTTTATAAAAAAATTAGCTATATTATTTTTATAAAAATAGCTATATTATTTTTATAAAAAAATTAGCTAGATAATTTTTTAATACTATAATTTATATTTTAATATATTAATAGATGAAAATGATTTTACATTATATTTGGCCGAATTAAATGAGTTTGTTTTGACACAAAAATCAAAACTACCCGATTTGTATGTATAGTAGTTTACATAGCCAACAACTAAAAAATATCTAACGGTGCTATCATTAACATACACTTGTCATTTAGTGCACGTCATCAGCACCCGCCAAACGATTGTGGTATACCGGCCATTCCCCGATACTCGCGTATATTCAACTACGATCCGGATCTGATTAACGTATATATAGCTCAGTTGAAAGGCGATATCGATATCAAACCCAGTTATCCGAATGGTACAGTTATTACCTATGGGTGCGAATCACGGTTCGACTATATGGCCAGCGATTTTGAACATCGTATCTGTATAGATGGTAGGTGGACGGGCCGGCTGGGCCGATGTTTTACGCCGGTTGGCGGTACCGATATTACACGTGTTATATCGGTACAGGAAAATACAGGTACGGCCCGACAGTCGTATCCGCCGATAAACACTACGGTTAACCATCGATACTGGAATTATATACAACACGGTATATATATATATATATATATAATTATAATAATAATAAACTACTGTACCCTTTAAAAAAACAACTATTATCTAGAAAATACCGATTGTGTCCAATTGGATCTGGTAGCCGACAAACAGTTTACCTGGACAATCTACCTGTCCCGGTCGGTTAAGATGTCCTATTTTGCTGTACGTTTTGGTACTGCAAATATATTTCATAATCTGGACGAAGATATGTTTCATGTGGACCGGGCATCGAAATTGGCCGGTGAACCCGTGCCTGTGAAAGCCGACATTGTGACTAACGGTTATGGTAGCGGTAAAATTGAGTGCGATGTGACCAAAGTGATTGAAACCGGTATGAACTCGGGTCTCACTCAGGTATCGTTCAGGTGTATGGATGAGCAGCAAAACAGTGGAAATAAAAAGTAATTTTTTTTTAAAAAATACATTATATACTAGTTTACAGTTAAGCCATACTCTCTGTCTCTCTGTCTCTCTGTCTCTCTGTCTCTCTGTCTCTCTGTCTCTCTGTCTCTCTGTCTCTCTGTCTCTCTGTCTCTCTGTCTCTCTGTCTCTCTGTCTCTCTGTCTCTCTGTCTCTCTGTCTCTCTGTCTCTCTGTCTCTCTGTCTCTCTGTCTCTCTGTCTCTCTGTCTCTCTGTCTCTCTGTCTCTCTGTCTCTCTGTCTCTCTGTCTCTCTGTCTCTCTGTCTCTCTGTCTCTCTGTCTCTCTGTCTCTCTGTCTCTCTGTCTCTCTGTCTCTCTGTCTCTCTGTCTCTCTGTCTCTCTGTCTCTCTGTCTCTCTGTCTCTCTGTCTCTCTGTCTCTCTGTCTCTCTGTCTCTCTGTCTCTCTGTCTCTCTGTCTCTCTGTCTCTCTGTCTCTCTGTCTCTCTGTCTCTCTGTCTCTCTGTCTTTCTAATGTCATAACAAAATGATACCTTTCCTTATTTTTTTATATAATAATTTTATAGGGAAAACCATAGACAACACTACTATGGCTATCGTCAGACAACTAACTTAATCAACATTCACATCAATCCCCAGGCCTTTCACCGTAGTTTTAATATGACTAACGAAACTACTGTCGCTTTTTGCGGACTAATGCTGTTCGAGGCTTCCGATAAATGCGGAACACCTGAAGTCGTACCCAATTCGGACGTCTATCTGAATCTGGAGGCCAATTATGTTCGCTATCAGTGTCACGATGGCTACAAACTGGTGGGCAACGAGTTTGTACGGTGTAGTCATTCGGGCAATTGGATAGTAAGTATCACTAAATAGTTTTGGGGAAATCATATTTTTTCTGAGCTAACCATACCTTTCCACACAATAATACCTATCATAGGATGACTTTCCTAAATGTGTTTTATACGAGTTGTGTCCAATTGATTCCGCCTACGGTACACTGGAGCGCAACTATTTCAATACGCTGGTTATCGATGGCCAGGATCGGGCCGTTTTGGGAACTATAGTCGAGTTCAGGTGCCGTTTGGAAAACCTTGAACAGGGCCGGCATATAATGATCGGTCCGCGAACGGCCATCTGTACGAAATCGGGTAAATGGAGTGTAGCCGAACCTATCTGTGCCGGTAATAATACCCTAATTACTAACTTAACTAAATTATTAACTAATTACTAATTATTAACTAATTACTAACTATTAAAAAAAATTAATATTAATAGACGACAAATATTTTCAACAATTCAAAACTATTGCCGATCAATATACTACTGGTGCCAGTATAGCCGTACCGATGACCATATTTATAGTATTATTACTACTGGCAGCGGTAATTGCTTCGGTATTTCTAATCTATCGGCGCTACGGTCTGTCTAATCGATGGTTGAATTGTTTGGATTGTTGTATCCGTCGTCGTCGGCCAACACGCCGATCGTCGACATTCATCAGCTATGGTCAGTCCAATCTCAGGGACAGTGTTATCAGTTTTGGCGAAACAAGTATCGGATCGTCGATGAGTGTCGGCGGCGGCGGTGGTGGCAATGGTTTCAATATATATAGTAGTAATAGTAGTAATAATAATAGTAATAGTAGTCATAATAATAATTACAATAATAATAATAATAATAGTCAACGAATTTCAGCTAATCTTATTAAAATGTAATTTAAAAAATTAATTTTTTGTTTAATAAATATATTAATTAATTGATTAAATTTGAAAATAAAATAACTAAATAATATATATTATTATTTATAAATTTAAAAAAATAAATAATTAATAGTGTGTTTTTTGTGACTAATTTTATTTATAATTTAATTATATAATACTACTATTACTATAGATTTTTTTTTAAAATTACAAAAACTTTATTATACAGTTATATGTTATGTTTGATAAAAATTAATTTATTATTAATAAATAATATTTCATTATATTTCGTTACTTAAGTACTTAAACTTTGTACTATTAAATTATTATTATTATTATACAGTACTTAAATATTATTAAATAAAAAAATAGTGATAATATAAAGTATTGAATATAATTACAAGTGACTTAACAATAATGATAATAAATATTTATACAGTTAAACAAATTTAGTGTTTTATTATAATAATATAAAAAAAATTGTTGAAAATAAACAAAATTATTTGAGAAAAATATAATGATTATAATATTTTTAAATGTAATTTTGATTCAATCAATTCTAATATATAATTTTAATAGTATTTTTGCATTAAATATAACTACACCTAATATACAGGTATTTTAAAAAAAAATATTTATAATATCATATGATTTTTAATTTTTAAAAAAAATTTAGTTAAAGGATAGTTATATTTATCTATGCGGCGGTCAAAATGATACGACAACAACAGCGCGCGTGTTGTCCACGTGTTATAAATATAATACCCGATTCAACCCGGGTATTTGGCAACCGATAGCCGATATGTCTATTGAACGGCAATGGTTTGGTTTGGTTTCATACGGTACTAATAATCATCAATTGTATGCAATGGGCGGTTGGAATGTATGGATATTTTTTTCAATTAGAAAATAAAATTAAAAATATAAAAAAATTAAAATTATTTTTTGATTATTAAGGGTAGGGATGGTATGAATAGTGTCGAAACATACGATACGCAAACAAATAAATGGAAACCAATGTCCGTATCTATGAATTTAAAACGCGGGTATAAATAAATAATTAAATTAATTAATTTTATTTTATTTTATTAATAAAAAATTATTAATTATTTTTTTTTGGCTTAATTTAATAGTAATTTTGGTGTAGCCGTTATTAATGATAGTATTTATGTATGCGGTGGACATCAGGGTAAATCTAAATAATTTTAAAAATTTTGTTAACAAAAAAAAATAAAATTTTAAATAATTTAACTAAATTTAAATATATTTATGTATATATATTGTTATATAATTATTAATATATTATAAATATTTTTTAGCTAATTCAGGATCTATTTTAAATCAATGTGAATATTATTCAGCAAATAAATGGCTGTTTACGACATCAATGATTGAGTGTCGGCGTGGTCTGGCACTGGTAGCTCACTGTGGCTATCTATACGCTATTGGTGGGGGTAGTCGTATTGATGGTGGATACATGAATTCAATGGAAAAATATGATATACTAGCTAAGCGATGGTCAGCTACTAATTTGACTAATATGCATTCAACAAGGTAGATTAATTATTATTTTAATTTTTTTTTAAATTTTAATTTTATTAGATATTAAAAAAGTTAAAAATTAAATTATCATCAATTAGATATCAATTTGGTGCAGCATCATTTTTAGGCAATATATATGTTTGTGGCGGTGCGGGTAATAGTAATGGTAAAACATGCGAAACATATGATCCCAGGGCTAACCAATGGACACCAATTGGTTATTAATTTTTTTTTAAATAAATATTTTGATTTGAATTTATATATAAATATTTTTATATGAATTTATAAATAAATATTTTTATATGAATTTATAAATTATATTTTGATATGAATTTATAAATTATATTTTGATATAAATTTATAAATAAATATTTTGATWTGAATTTATAAATAAATTATATTTTKATATGAATTTATAAATTATATTTTGATATGAATTTATAAATTATATTTTGATATGAATTTATAAATTATATTTTAATATGAATTTATAAATTATATTTWGATATGAATTTATAAATTATATTTTGATATAAATTTATAAATCAAAATTTTTTTTTACAAATAATTTTACTAATTAATAATTTTTTTAAAAWWTTTTTAGCATCAATGAATATTAAACGATTGAATTTTAAATTAATTGTTTTTCAAAATAAATTATATGCATTGGGAGGCGATACAAGTATTATTTTAATTATTATTATTAAAAAATACATATAAAAATTTATAATAATTAATTTAATTATAATTTTTTTAATAACAAAATAATTTTCTACTAATATTATTTATTATTTTTAGGCGATGGCATCACCAACACTGTTGAAATATATGATGAAAATCAAAATCAATGGCATTATACTAATATAACATTGCCTTATAAATTGGATTCATATGGGGTATTAATTTTTAAAAAAAAAATTAAATGATTAGTTTTAAAAAATTTATTAATTTATTAATTAAATTTTTTAATTTTAGGCTGCAGTTATAACATAATACATAATTATTATTATAAAAATATATCAACAATATTTATTAGTATTATTATTTTTATACTAAATTTAGTAATTAATTTAGTAACTATTAATTATGATTTTATTCAACATAAAAAATTATTCAATTATAATTCAATAAATATTTGTTTAAATAATAATTTTACTAATTATTAAAAACATTTTTATCCTGAATTATATATATATATATATTTATATATAAATAATACAAATTTATTTTAATATATTGTACAATACTGTACTTGTATTACTGTATTGTACAATATTATATATATATATATATATATATATACGGTATATAAATTATATGTGTATACTATATACTGTACTATGTATGCAAATATTGATTTTTTGTGTGCATTTGTTTGTATTAAATATAAAAATTTTATTTTTATTCAAGGATTACACACACACACACACACACACACACACACACACACACACACACACACACACACACACACACACACACACACACACACACACACACACACACACACACACTGTACAATGTTTAGTATTGAAATAAATAAATAAATAAATAATTATATATATATATATAAAAATCCATCAAAAATCTAGATCTATTCAAGGTAAATCAGCTACTAAAATTTATTTTCAAGTAAAAAAATTATATACTAACTTTAATTTATTTTTAAATTTATATATATATTTGACTTATAGATCTTAAATTATGATTAGATACTACATAAACAATAAAAATACTAATTTATTGTTAAAAAAAATTTGTTTTGTTTAATTAATTTTTATAAAATAATTTACACAAAAAAATCACAAAATATTGATAGTTGATACATTTTTTTTTAAATAAATCATAATTAAATTTTATTATTATTTTCAAATTGAAATGTATTAGAAACATAATTTTGTATAATATATAACTTATTGGACTTTAACTATTGTGTAATATATATATATATATATATATATCAATATAATATTACTATAAATATAATCTTTAAATATTTTTTCGACATATAAGTAGATTACACTTACAAAGTACACACAAAAAATAAATAAATAGATTTTTATAATAATCGTATCGATAAAAAAATTATTACTAATAAAATACTACTTTATATATATATATATATGGTTTTAAATACAAAACATTACATACTATTCACATGATATCAATTATTATCATTATTTTTTTAAAAATAATAATAATTCAGATTAATATATTTTATACATTGTATATAATTTTTTTTTAAAAAACTAGATAAGCAATCATCTTAACAAACAAACAAACAAAACTAATAATAATAATAATAATTGTAATATAATATCAATTTGATCTTTCAAGGTAATCTCCAGGTAAAACATATACTGTATATATAATTTTTGTTACATATTTTATTTCAATTTGAAATCTCATCAAGGTTTGTAGATACAATATATATATATATATATAGTATAATTATAATAGTGTATATTTTTAAACATAAACATACGGCACACACACACACAATGTTATACACATACACACAAAATACACTATATATATTACTATACTATGTATGCTAAGCAACCGTAACTATTAATAATAAATATATGTAATATAAACATATAGTCTAGTGTACCATATATTCTGTGATGTGAGAGGCAGTGTGTGTGTGTGTGTGTGTGTGTRTGTGTGTGTGTGTATGTGTGTCTGTGTGTATGTGTGTGTATGTGTGTATGTGTGTATGTATGTGTGTGTATGTGTGTGTGTGTATGTATGTGTATATATGTATGTATGTGTGTATATATATGTGTGTGTGTATTTGTATGTATGTATGTATGTATGTATGTGTGTATGTATGTGTGTGTATGTGTGTCTATGTGTATATGTATGTATGTGTGTATATATGTATGTATGTGTGTATATATGTATGTATGTGTGTGTGTGTKTCTATGTATGTRTGTGTGTGTGTCTATAACAGTGTGTACTGTACAGTAATATGCGTATATATATATAAAAAAAATAAAGCAGAACTTGCTATATATAATAGTTATATTGAGATTGCACAGTACTGTACCTATATATATATATATATAACTTATATACAGTATATATWACTKCTATACAATAGATTCTGTGTGTGTGTGTGTGTATGTGTATGAGTGTGTATATATCATACAATCAGCACCGGTATGTTCGAGTCTATGGTGTTCTCTCTCTGCACACACACACACACACACACACACACACACACACAGTAGGCATCGCTTAGTGTCTGTGATTGGTTGTGAACAGTCAGCACAACCATTCAAGGTTATGATGAATGGCCTTCATTTAACTAGTCATTACACACACAGTTGTCTTATGCCGTCGATAGGAGTTTTGTTTGGTGTGGTGTCTGTATGTAATGTAGTGTACTGTATGTGTCTCCCTGTCCTCAACATCATCACCACTGATACTACTCTACACACACACACACACTTGAATAATAATAATAATAATAGAAATGACAGCTAAATACTGTATATATACAGTATATTTCAAAATAAAAAGATATTGAAATACTAGTTATACTGTATATACAAACAAACAGTATATAACTAACTATAAAATAAAAACCACTGAATTTATAAATGAATTTTTTTATGTATGTGTTATTAATACAGTGTTATATACGATAGTATAATATATACGTTAATATAATATCTATATATATATATATACTGTATATATATATATATGCGAATGCGCTTAAAAAAAATACATTATGAATATCGATAGTAATAGTAATAATATTAATAATAATAATATATATAAATATATTTTTTTGTCGCAAATACTATAAGAAATTTTATTTATTTAAAAAAATTTATTAATTCAATGTTAAAATCTAACTAACAGTTTAGTGATTAATAATAATTAATATATATATATAATATATATATATATATATATATATATATATATATATATATATATATATACAATTCAATTGATTGTATTGAAGTTTAATATATATATATATATATATAATAATTATTAAAAATATTTAATTAAAACAACAATCAGTGCTATTGTATTGTCGAAAAATATATATATATATATATATATTCTGTGATATATTTATTTTTTGTTTAGTTAATAATAATATTTAATTAATTAAATTAAATTATTTATTTTTATCTATAATTCGTATAATTAATAAGTAATTAAATTTTGACGTTTTTTTTGTGTAAATTAATTTCTTATTATTACTATAAAAAAATTTTGTAATAATAATAATAATAATAATTTCAATTAAATATAGACTGAAATGAAGGCCAAATGTAAGCAAAATCGATAAAAAATATAATTTCTTATTAAATAAAATTAATTTTTATATTCATTATATATTATATTATATTTCTATTTATATATATATATATAAATTATTATAATGTATTATCATTGTTAATAATCATTGCTAGTTGTATATAAAAAAAATTAATTAATTAAGAAAAATGTATGATTATGATAAAATATTTTATTTTATTTTTTGATTTTAGTTTTAATACACTTATTAACACTGTAATGCAATTAATTAATGATTATTATTTAGTTAAAAAAATATTATATATTGTTGTTAATACTAGTAAAATAAAAATATTTTAAATTTTATAAATATTTATATATTGCAAGTTCATATTTTTARTAAACTAATATATTATTGATAATTAAATACTAGTTTTTTTAAATAAAAATTTCAATTATAATGTCGACTTTAAACAGTAATTATTTAATTTTGTTTTATTTTTATATTTAWACATATATTTATTCATATAAGATAATAATAATTATAATAATATAATATTTATAAAATTATTTTATCGATATTTATTGTTTTTTTATTATATATTTAATTATAAGTATCTATCTATTTATCTATTTTATTATATAAATATTTAAATAATAATAATAAAATATTATAACTTATAATTTTTATATCGTATCTAAATATTTTTATTTTTATTTTTTWTAAAAAAAAATATTATAATAATTATAATWATTATTTTTTATTTTTTTAGATGATATAAATTGTTTGCATTTCAACAAACTATCGATTAGTAGTAGTAGTAATAGTAGTAGTAATTCACCGAAAATTTACGGCAATTCCGGGTCGGCATCGATGGACACTACGGGCAGCGGCGGMGGCGGTGTCGGCAGTGGTAGCTCCGGGAGTCGCGGCGGCAGCGGTGGCGGTAGTRGTGGACAAGTATTGCCGCGCATAGACTTCCCGTCAAACAAATTTGAACGCTATATGAATATGAATAATAATAATAATAATAATAATAATAATAGTAACGATAGGTACTATAAATCACCATCATCAAAATATCATAAATAATTAATTAATTAATAATAATAATCATTATATCAATCAATGAATCAATCAATCATTATCATTAATTTATTAATTTTTAGTTGATTTTAATTATTTATTTTAAAAACAATTAATTTATATAATATAAATGCATTTCAATTATTATTATAATGTTGTAATTTATTATTATTATTATTATTATTATCTAACTAATATGTGTGTATAGAAATTTTTTTGTGTAAAAAACAACATTATTTCAAATGTTCACCTGGGCACATTTTTTAAAAAATARTTAATTAAGTTATTTATTTATAAATAATTATTATTATAATTTATTTATTTTATTTATTTATTACACATTATTATTATTATTAATGTTTATTGTTTCATAATTMATTAGTTTTGTGTCTATCTGTATATATATTTATTGATTGAATTATTTTTTAATAATAATAATAATAATAATAATTACCATGATACATTTATGTTAAAATACATACATACATACACACACAAATCAATACATTTATTTAAACTATAGTTAACAATGTTGTCAAATCTCAAATGTTATTAATAATAATAATAATATATTAATGTTTTTAAAAACTTTTTAATTAAAAAAAACATTAATATACAATACTATAATATTTATATACATATACAATATATCTATATATATATATACAGTATATATTGTATTATGCTAAAAAAATTACATATTTTATTTTATTTATAAAAATAATACATAATTGCACATAAACAACATAAATTATAATTATATTTTTTTTATAAACATTAATAATAATAATGTCACATTATTTTTTAAATATACAACTTAATAATATATTTATATATATATATAATAGTAACTTATTGAAAACTTATACGGGTTTATTTTTTTATTGACAAAAAAATATATATTTGTAATTAAGGTTGGGTAATAATAATAATAATATTTTTGTGTAATACATAGAGTGTAATAATAATAATAATAATATTTTTTGATGAATAGATATAGTTTTATTATTAGTTTTTTAATCTACGACATTTTAATTGTGCAACAAAATAATATAAATATATATATATATAATATTTTTGTCATCATCCAGGAAAAATATGTAATTTTTTTAAAAATACATATAATATATTTATTATAAATATATTTTTTTAAATACAAGTATAAAAATATTATTTATTTATTTTGTGACAATTTTTTTTTTAAAGATAATATGAAAAATAATAATTTTTGTAAACATTAATAAATTTAAAATTTAATAATCATTATATATATATATATATATATAGAGAGAGAGAGAGAGAGAGAGAAAGAAAGAGAGATAATATTTTTAATTACAACACAAAAATACTGTATAAATGTATTTATTTTATTATAAATATTTAAAAAACGCTTAATTTGTAAAAAATAATAATTAAATAGAAAACTATTTTTTTGAACAAATTCTTTAAAACAAAAAAAAATAAATATAATTTGTAAAAATCATTTTGTGTTAGAAATAATAATTTAAAAAAAACTAAAATAAATAAAACTAAAAAAATATTTGAATTTTTTGTGTATTTAAAATTACTTTGTTGATTTTTTTTATTTTAGAAAAATAAACAAGATAAAACATAATTGGCAAACTAAATATTTTAAACAACAAAAATAAATGAATAAAAATATCATTTTATTTATAAAAAAAAAAATTAAATTATAATATAATATCTTTAAATTACTAAAATTTAAAGTAATTAAATTATATATTGTATATTAAATTTTTTATTTATTGACGTAATTTATGTATTACTAGTATATGTATATTTTCAGCCATGATGAATTTGAACATAATTATTGTCTAGGACAATTAAGCTCCTGGTATTTATAGCTAGCAGAGTGGCGCAGTGGAAGCGTGCTGGGCCCATAACCCAGAGGTCCGTGGATCGAAACCACGCTCTGCTACATTAAATTTTTTGTCTAATTTTTGAACTATTAAAAATTTTTTTTATAATAAATTTTAATTTATTACAAAAAAATTATTAGAAACTTAACTAATTTAAAAAAAAAAATTATATTTATATATATAGTTTAATAAATTGAGTTTATATTTTAATTGTATTTATTTTTATATTATTATTATTAGGATACTTATATTATATGTATTGATAATATATATGTCAATCAATAGTTTATTTTTTTATAATACAGTAATAATAATAATAATAATACAGTAGTATTAAAAAAATTATGATAATTATATTTTAAATGATTTACATATACAATAATAAAAACTAATTATGTTTTTTAGCAAAATGATAATAATTACTAATAAATATAAAATATTAATTTAAATAAAATATTTTTAAAAAAAATATAAACTATATATATACTGTATATGATATGAGAGATATATATATATTTAAATAATTATTAATTTAATGATTAATACAGTAAAAAATATATATTTTGTTTTTTAATATTCATAATCATTATAATAAATTCGTTGCGATTGTTGTCGTCTCCTATTATAATAGTTATCCGACTGTCCTCTAGTCCTCCTATTATAATCATCCGACTGTCCTTTCGATCGTAACTTTTTTGATGGCCTATCATCAGTAGGCGGTGTTGTTGTCAACTGATGTAATGGTGGTCTGGGTGTCAATCGTCGGACGGTCGGAAACTCCGGGTTATAGTGTCGTATCGGACGCCGTGTCCGCCATTGACAGTCAACCATTGATAAGTGTAATGTAATCACAATTATGGTAACCATTATAATTGTCGACAACAAACTAATCACTATATTATTAAAGTTTTTCATTATTAAAATTCAAAAAATATTATTATTATTATTATTGAATTTATTTTAATAGATTTATTATTATTAGTATATATATATTTTTAAATAGAAATTTGAAACTATTTATGACTAATTAAATCACACATTGAATACAAACTGATATTATTTTTTTAGAGAGAGAGAGAGAGAGAGAAAAGTAATTGAAAATAATTTTTTCAAACAAACAAAAAATAATTGTTAATTAAAAAGACACTAAACTTTTTTTGCAGTAATCATTCAAACATAACAACAATAATAATATATATTTTTACTAATAATAAAATTGTTGTTGAAGTTTATATACTGTATATATATACTGTACTATAGTATTCTGGGTATAATTTTTTTTATTAAATAGTATATTAACTTTCACTAGAAATTATTTGACTCAAAAATAATGAAAAATCAAAAATACAAACAAACAAAACAAAAAAAAACTAAAACAACTACTAAAATAACTTTCCTGTCAATCATCACTTTTGTATAATACAAGTAAATGTAATGGAAATAGGATTTTACTGTCATTTACTTATTATATATACAGTATATATATATACTAAAGTATATAATTATTATTAGTTAGTTATTTCCATAATGGAAATCATAACTACTGTATGTTTTTTTTATGATTGACTTTATTTTAATGATTGACTTTTAGTTTTTATTTTTTCATTCATACTATAATAAATTGTATATAAAAAATATACTGTATATTAATATTTGTAGTAATAATGATTTATTTTTTAAAAAAAATAATTGCACACTTAGTTGTCAAACAATTTATTTATTTTTTGTTTTTTCACTTAAATACCTTGAAGCAATTTTATTATACATGTTAAAAATTACATATTTTTAAAGTATTAGTGTAATAATAATAATAATAATAATAATAATAGTATGAATAATAAAGTATATATATACTTATAGTTAGTAATTGTTAAAAATATTTGCAAAATAGTTGTAACAAAAAATAAATAAATTATTGAACAATAATACTGTAATTTTTTTTAAAAATTATTATATAATATAATAATTTAATTTATTTGATTATTCATATTATTTATATTAAAATTTTAAATCAAATATATTTATTAATAATATATAATTGTGTAACTTAATTATAAATTAATATATTTATGAATCAATGATTAAATTTCATGAATCATTAATAAAATTAATGATTGATAAAGTTAATTAATAAAAAAATAATATTAAAAAATAAAGCATTTTTTTACTGTATTAGTACTAATTAATTACTAAATTAATTTAATCAAACAATTAACCAAAAAAAAAACTAAATTATAGATTACATAAAATTATTAGATTTTTTTATTTAAAAAAATAATATATCAATAAATCTAGAATTAAATTTAAAAAAAAATAGTTTAGTATTTTTTGAAACTTGTTTTATATTGTTATATTGTTGATTGTTGTTGTCCTACTTGACCACTACTGGTGGTCTCACCAAAATCGGTAACGGTATGATTGTTGTTGTTGTTGTTGTTGTTGTTGTTATGGTTGCTAACTGTCCTGATATATGGTCGGACAACATCATAGTGACGGGGTGGGCGCCGGGTTGAGGCACCGGTAGGTTGACTGGCCACCAGTATCGTCGACAGTGGACTAGACATTAATGTCAACAATATTATTATTATGGACACCATATATGTTACCGAAAATAGTTTCAAATAATTCATTATTATTATTATTATTATTAACTAAATTAATAATTAATTTTTTTTTATAAAACTATATAAATACTGTATATATATTAGATAATAATTACTATTCAATTATATAGAATAATACAACAAAAAAATAATTATAAAATAAAACTTTACTATAGTTTTGTTATTATTATTATTAGTAATTTTTTTAATTGATATTAATATTACTATTAATTGTTAAAAAAAACATTACAAATGTTATAATAAATTATTTAATCTTATTTCAATTTATGATGATGATAAGATTGTTCATGGTAATTTTTTTTATAACAATAGACTATAAATATTATCGTACAGTATATGATAGCTAACTATTTTATATTATTATTTAAAATTTATTATTATTATATGTATAGTATTATCTATGCAATACAAACTAGTTTTTTTTGACATTAGTTTTATTGTAAATTATTATAAAAACAAAAAAAATAAAGTTATAATAAATAGTTATTTTATGTGTCGTGTC